AAAAAAAAGTCTTGTTGTAACTATACAGTGTGTAAATATACATGTATGTATATAATTTTTACAGATTCATCTTATGTTGTATTTGTTTTCTTGTTTGTGGAAAAAAACGCATCAGTTCATTGTTTTGCACATCAACAAGTTACTTTTGTTGTTTGAGAAAGAAAAACTATGTAGCAAATTAAATTCTTAAAGCTGCTCTTTGGAGGAAAGGCTGATTGTGCTGATGAAAGTACTCGCCTGTGTGAGCCTCTATACAGTCGCTAACACGGTGTTGTTGATGACACCCCTGAAATTTGAGCTTTACTGTGTTTTGGTCTTGCTTAGGAACCGAGATATGAATCTTTTGTCTGTTGAAGAAAACAGAAAGCTGTTTTAAAATGTGACCAACATGATTTTGCCTATGAGGTACCAATCTGCATCTTCTTCATCATCATATTTAAAAACTGATATAAATATATTTACTTTTCTTTAAAGCTGAAACACTTTGTGCCGGCAGTAGTTGAAGTTCCAGAGCAAGATTCACAAATGATCTTATTGTCACTCGTATGATTTAAATACCCTGGTACATGGAAACAAAACACATGAATGCTCATCTATAAACAATATAATATGCATCAGGTTTTAAAGTTCTTAGATTTCATTTTAAAGTCAGTCAGCCGACTTTAAACCAGCGATAAAATCATTTTTAATGTGTTGTGAATTTTATATTTCTTACCATTTTCTACCTCCACAGACAAAACAAACATTTTTGTTTTGTATGTGATGTACTTAGCGGCTTAAGGAAAACTAATGAAGGAAAATAGTTACACAGTTGTACACAGAGCAGTTCAGATTCTGAATATCTAAGTCCTATCTGAAAATCAGGGAAGTGCAGTACAGAGCAATGTGATTCAACTTGGTTTTCTGTCTGATGCTGAAAGATAGCAAAGTCAGCTACACTATTTTGAATCACACTTGCACGCCATAATGTTGTACAGGGTATCATTTTCATGTGCAAATCACCTAAACACCATGTCAAATCTCATTTGCCTTTATATAAGCACTTCGGAGAAGGGGTGGATAGACTAGTAATTCAACATCTCTATGAACCAACAGCATCAAAACAGGTTTTCACGCATGAACCCTGGTTGTGTGACCCAATATATTTGCAAGTTCTTCAAAAAACCTGATAACTTATTCCATTCTTATATAACTAAACACACTGTAAGGTCTCCGGTTTGCATGAGGTGGAAGCAGATGTGTTTCCTTTTCTTTGGGAAAAACAAAAAAACATGTCAAGTAATTGTAATGAAAGCTTTCCTGGAAATAAAGACTAATTATAGAACAATGACTGGAAACTGGAACTTCCTAACTAACTGGAATTAGTTATAAATAGATGAAAAATAGGTTCTTTGGATCCTGTGAAACAAATATAATATATCATCATGGAAAAAAACATGCTTCATCAGTGGTTTCGTTACACCTAAAATATATATTCAAAGTATTTTCAATGTTTTGCTCTCGAGTCCCAGATGTTGTTTGAATAGGGTCAAACCTCATAAAAGAATGATTCGTTAAAAGGCAAATGCATTCAGGCCTGTAACATGTGACTTCAGCAGCTGTGTTGCAAAGCAGTTGATGTAGTGAATTAATAGTTAAGAGACTTTAAAGTGCAACAATGTGAATTTACACATTAACTCAGAATGTCTGGTACTCTGGACTAATGTGAGAAGGTCAGTCTAACACCCTGATGTTATTGTACGGTTTATTTTGCCATTTTTATTTTACTTTTTTCAAAAATGGTGACGCTTGTTCATCCTTTCATCTCCTCCCACTTAGATTACTGCAGTGCTCTATGGTATTGTCTGTCTAAATCATCTATTAATCAACTCCAATCTGCCAAAAATGCTGCTGTAAGGCTTTTATCCCACTCATAAATTCTCTCATATCACTCCATTGTTAAAGTGTCTGCACTGGCTTTACTGTTAGATTTACATATCAGTTCAAAATCATCATTCTTTCTTTTATGGCCTTAGGAGGAGAGGATCCCACTTATATGTCTCCGGTCTACTCGACACCTATTCTTCAAACCAA